ATATTGTTGTTATGCGCCATCAAGTCATCTCCAACTGATGCATCCATCTCATATTTGGTCTTCCTCTATGCATGTCATGAGCAGAGCCAGCTGAACCTGTGAGGCCCCTTCTAACTCGCTCTGTTTCTCTGTTTCTATATTTCTGCCTTGGACTTTCCCTAGCATACTGTATCGTGTTTAAGATGGTTTAGTGTATTTGGATGTGTTTCTTAAATGTTTTTTATGCTTTTTATATACACGATCCAACTTACATACATATTTGACTTTAAGACAATTTCAGGAATGGGATTTGTTCTTAACTCGGGGACTGGATGTACTTTCATAAATTTGCCTGGTCCAGTTCACTGCTTCCCAGTTTGACCTCCTTCCTCTCCTCACCCAGTGATTTATAACATTTACAAAGTAATTCAAGCATGGAAGTTTTCAGGTCTTTCTTTTCCTTTAATCAAAAACTTCCTGCTCCTTTGCTGTCGAGTGGGTTTGAATAACTTCCAAGGATCAGAGGGCTCCATGATCACCCACTGTGGGCCGCCCTTCACGGCCACTGAATATGGCAGGAGCCAAAATCACAGTCATGTTGCAGGAAAACAGAGAGCATGGGGAGCATTCGCCTTGATTCTCAGCAGAAACGCACAGCTGGCGGAAGTGCCACTCTGGGTGCAATCAAATCATGTGCTCCCTGTGCTGAATCTCTGCAGGGTTTGATACCACCATGGCAGCAAGCTCAGCAGTGGCAAAAGAACACGGTAAGTGGTAGCCAAAACAGCCCCGGGGGTCTGCATGTGGCTCCCCCATGCTCCTGAAGCTTTGCAGGGCCTCCTACTCCTTTAATAAAAAGCTTCCCAGATGTAGGTTAGGTCTCTTTCGTTGCTTCCTGGGAATGCAATGCCTGGGACTTACTGAGGACTGACCTGTGTTAATTGCTGTTTCAAACAAAGGCAGGGTGCTTGAGCAGGTCAGGAGGTACATTTCGTGAATGCTTTGCATTATGGTCCTATCCCATGCTGAACAAAATCATTTCCATTTCAGGAGCCAGGCCCTACTAAAGATACAGCCCTTGATTTTAACTCAACATACCGGGTTCTGTTGGAATATAAATATAGCTGGGACGCCAGTGGGAGATTTTGCTTTGAGACATTTAGCCTGGAAGAGAAGAGAAGACTGACACAAGACATAATATCACCCTGCAAGTCAAAAGGAGGAAGGACAGGATCCCTTCTTGATCAACCCAGAGAGGGGGACATGGAATAGCAGGCTAAAGTTACAGGAAGCCCAATTCTGGCTAGATCTCAGGGGGAAATTAATGATTGTTAGAGCAGTATGGCAATAGGACGAATTGCCCCCAGAGGTTGTGGGCTCTCCCACACTGGAGGCATCCAAAATGCAACTGGACAGCCGTTCAAGAGGGATGGTTTAACTGGGAGTCCTGCACTGAGCAGGGGGTGGGACCCAGTGGCCCTCTGGCCCCTTCCAATCCTACCCCTCCAGTATTTTATGGTAACATTGGCTCTCCTGCCATGCCCCATCCAGACATCCCTTTTCATGTTCTTATAAAAGGATCCTTTGGAAACACACAGAGACTGTACAGTATATACATATATAAATCAGCACATGCAAATTAGCACATTTGGATTGTGCTGTGCCATTAGAACCCCAAGCTCCAGGCCAAAGTTACTCATTTTCTAAGAGCGCAATCCTATGCACATTTGGACAGCACCGTAAAAGCGGGGGATTGTAGGATTACCCCCCATCCCCCAAGGGAACAAGTCTGTGCATGATTTGGGTTCAATACTGATTTTTTTCCCCCTAAGGTGAAATTTTACCCGTTTCACCACACAAAACAGCTGTACAACTCCCAGCATGCCCTAACCGGGCTGCCTGGGAAAGCTGAGCGTTGCAGGGCACTTCTATCCGTCGAAACACGCGCGGGGTTCCGCCCTAAGCTATTTATTTGCAGCCCAGCTACCTTCTGGGCACTCGAGAGTTAAAGTGGTAGAGGCTTGACTCCTAGAGTGGCCTAGAAGTGGGGTGGGGGGTGTCTTTGCAACCAGGTGGTCCTCCTGCGCTCCACACCGCAAAAAAGCTCCTCCCCTTCCCCAGAAGCTGGATTTGAATGCCAGAACCCAGGGACTCTCGCTGGCATGCACGTGGGAATCGGTAAGTTACAGACAAGCTCTGTTTTGCAGCGTGGAGGCGAGATTGCAAGGAGGAGGAAAAGATGGAGAAGGAATATCTGTGGGGCGTGGGGGAGGAAGGGGCACTCCCCAAAATCCATGTGATTGTCTCCCCCGAACCCTGATTCAAGGACGGGGCAGAGAGAGAGATGGGGGTATGTGGTCTACCCATTTCCTTTTTTATTTTCATCTTCTGCGGCAGCTAAGATCACCAGCTGCCCCTTTGCAGTTTCTGCAGCGGGATGCGCTTTTCCTCCGCTGAGAATCAGAAAAATGGGAGACCCCAACCTGACCCTATGCATGTGTTACCCGAGAGTAAGCCCCGCTGTGTGAACGTCTGTCTCAGTAAATCTGCGCAGGCTTGTGCCGCATCTCCGTGAAAACAAACGCCGTCCCTCCCAAGCGGGGTTGATTTCTGAGCAGACCTGCATAGTATCGCGCTGTGGCCTATGGATGGGGAAGTCAGCAGTGCCATAAACTCACTCCCTTGAATCCAGGAAAACTGCTTTCAGGTTTTGTCTGTATTAGCATATTAATGGCTGCGCTTTGATGGATGTGTCCTCAGTCAGTCTTTTATATTTAGCCAGTGTAGGAGATAGGATCCTATAACAGAGTCGCCATCAAAATCCGTTGCACCTTCTTGCAGTGGATTCCATAAATCCAACCTGTGTTTGCTTGCAGAGTCCTTCTTCATGGTACAAAAACAAGAAAGAGTCTTGTGACACCTTGTGCATTTATTTTGGCATCTGCTTTTCTGGGTGCTGCCCACGTCCTCAGGTGCATGAAGAGTTAACCTTGAGTGGGCAGA